TATCACTCCTAAACTCTCCTCCCTCTACTAATCTGAACTGGTAAGGAAGACTGGCTGTGCTCATGGGAGCTATTGCAAACTTTAAGTATCCTCCAAGATCTGGTCGCCCTCTTAAATCAATGCAGTGCTGTATCTCTAGTTGTAGTGGCTTCAGTAGAGGCTTTGAGAGTGATAATGCATACACAGCACTCACTAGCACAGTATTAGGAGGAAACTGGAACTGTCCTCCTACAAGAGCAACCACTGCTGCTTCTACTGTCTCAGAGGGCAGTAAGCTGTCTTCTTGTACTCCAATCCTTAGACCATATTTCTCCCAATTCATCAGTTGAGGTTTGTCTCCTTGAATTAAGAACAGCTTCTTCTCTGCTACCTGGACATCACTCAGACATTCCAAATTAGCTATCAATTGTATAAAACACTCACACACATAATAACACTACTGGTACATAATATAACATAAGAACATGTATTTGCATCAGAAAAATTATATAAATGAAGAATTCTCCCCCAGTCATTTTTGGAAGAATTTTTAAATTACTTTAAAAATTCATACCTGCAAGCATATCTCTTATACCCATAGGACAAGGGCAAGAATATCAAGTTTAAGAGTAATTAAATTCAATTGCAAATATACGTATACAGACACATACATGTATTTAGAATTTATTTCACTTATGAAAACAACAATCACTATTACTAGTAGCATATCTCTTACCCATTGATGGTATTAAGTAGTTGAACTGAACTTCAACAGAACTAGTCTCTTTGATTGATTGTTCCTCTTGGGATGTGATCCTCTCCTGTTGTTGTGATTTCTCTTTCAATAGTTTGGATATATATGCATCTTTTTCAGATACTGTAGTCTTGAAATCATCTACACAAAGACATATAGTATGTATTCTCTCATTCAATACATGCTGTGTATTATTAACTCACCAATAATTATCTGCTTTTCATTGAGTCGTTCCTCTACTTGTGTCTTCTCTTTCAATACTTCAGTTATATATACATGTAATTCATTATCAGCAACTATAGCTTTATGTTTGTCATATTCTCCTACATTAATAGGATATTCTCTCATCTAATATTATGTACTGATGGTACACTAACCAGTCATTATTTGTTTCTCCTCCACTGATTCCTCTAGTTCATCAGTTTTAAGCTTCTTACAATTATCTGCAGAACAATTAAATTTTCATTATAAAAATAATTAATAAAAAGTGGGAAAATAATAGTCAATATAACATCTGCTACGTAAATACAATATTTCCCAATAGTTATGGTTTCATTTATACTACCTAACCTGAGTGTGGTGAGTCCTCTTGATCTCTCTTTCGTTTAGTAAGAAGAGTCTTAGTTTCTAGTAGTTGTGTTTCTAATGTTAGCATCCTCTTCTCTTGAATAGAAATAAAATAATGAAATAAACAATGGTTAACATTCATTCTTTGTTACAAAGTGCATGCATAAACAAGACTAATCATATGTACAGTACATGTACACATACCTGATAGTGATTGAGTCTCCAGTAGTGCTTCCTGAAGTGATTGGTTATTAATTCTAGCCACTTGTAGATCATGACGTAAAGACTCATTAATAACTTGAAGCTCCTTCTCTTTATCTGTCATGTATTTCTTTTTTCTTTCTTTTAGTATTACTTCATACAATAAAGGAATATTAACTGAATCTAATACTGGACCCACTGACCATTGACCATCATTAAAAACTGAGGGAGAGAGGGAGGGAGAAGGAAAAGGAAGGAATAAAATAAGTTAGTGATTGAGTGAGGGAAGGAAAAGGACGTAACGAACCAATGACAAGTACAGTACGTGTACATGTAATTACAATGAAAACAATCAGTAAACCACAAAGGAGGCTTACTCCTAAAAATCCATATGCATGCAGGCTTAGTTGACCACACCCACTAATTACCCCACCCACATCATCACAAAGTTGAGGCTGCTTTACACAGCAATAGGAAACTCATTGTAAAACCTGTTTAACAAATTTATTTGTTTGCAAGCATAAACAGGCACAAAATGATACTGATGGTATAGTTTTTGTTGCTGCCTGAATCATAATCTACCTATGTAATACAACAAAAAGAAATTAAATTTATCAGTGGAAAGTAATACACATAGTTCATATAGTGACACATAATGTCATAATTATCATAAAGCATGCTCAGATTGAAACAAAATGGTGGATTTTATATTGGCTATTTCTTCGTGGAACCACCAATTATTTCCTCACCAATAAATCATCTTGTACAGTAATACATATAAAATTTTTATTTTGTAAGATTATACAAAATAAATAATTAATATTACCTAGTTCAACTACCATTGTGATATTAGGATCAGTGACATGTGCAGCAAACCATTTCATTACTCCTCCTCCTACATGTTTTTGTTCATTCTGCACAGCACCTCCCACTATTATCAGGAACACATGATTAGGATCAAGAACAAAAGATGATACAGTGTGAGCATATCTACCAGTAACAGAATCAGGTAGAGGAATCTGTAAAAAATAATAAAGAATGTAAAGATATAACAACAAAGACTGAAAGAGATCATAACACCAGTGGTTGATAATAAGGTACACACATGTAGACTATATATGACTGAAAATGAATTATTGCTCATTAATATTCTAAAAACAATTCACAAATACAAATTCCTTTTGATACTAAAAAAATATCAAAATGTTATGCAATGATCCAATGGCTGATAAGCATAATCACCAAAAAGTAGTGCTGAACTGAGTCAACTAAGGAAAGTCTTCATAAAAACTATTCTTACAGTTTTAAACTTCAAATACAAATACACTCTTTGAGGTATACAAGACACAAAAACTACTCATAATGAAGCACTATGGTGCAATGGACTCGCCTGCTGGAATTCACTTGAGTGATATGTATTACTTGTACTGTGATATTTTAAGCAATTTGAAAAAAAATTATTATTATGGACTGCATAGTTATAATGATAATTAAAATAAGCTATGGGTGTGGTCAACAACTAACTAGCTAAATCATGTCACATGGGTAGGAGAAAGAAGAAAAGCTGAAATTTATTTTAGCATCTGAAGCTCTATTCCAAGAAAGAGTTGGCACAGAAAATTTTTCTAGATATTTAAAAGAGACTGAGAGAGTTTGGTTGCTCCTACTTTCCCCAGTGCCGCCTGAAAAATTCTCCAAGAGGCTAAATCACAAAGTTTGAGCAACTGTAACTCACAAACAACGAAGTTAGGACAAAATCGTTCTTTTTGTTTTTCGTTAGATGGGATTTTCTACCTCTGAAGCAAATCTCGGCTCTGTAGAGTGAAACACGAGCTCTCACCTGGAGAGAGGTCCCCTGGTTTAGCAGTTCACAGCTTTTGGTGCCACGGGATGCTACAAGAGCATAATTAGATGAAAGAAAGCAACTTTATCTGTTGCTAGAAGAAGAAATAGAGCTCTAGACTGCTCAAACAAAAAGATAATTTTTTTACAAATCAATTAAATTGTGTGGACAGAATGACAGAATGACAACCCAACTGCTTAGTACCCGCCTACGCGAGTCCAAAAATAGCAACCAATTATTGTACATGTGTGGATACCAGGGTTTATACACAAACTAAATCTCTATTTTGTTCAATTTGCAAAATTTCAACCACTTGAACATTTTACCCACCCCACTGTACACTATATGCATGCAATATAATGTCAGTGTAATGTATTAATACCTTCATCCAATTGTACTGGTTTGTGTCTATTAACAAACAATCATTCACTGGTTGAATCTTCCATTCCACCAATCACTACCAGTGTAGGTGAGGTAGAGACACCATTGATAATAGTACTGGCATGAGCCCATCTCTCCTCAGGCCACAGTCCATCATTAAGTATTGCTCCTTGTTTAAGACACTCCCAGTTCTAAAAACACAAACAAATGTAGATACATATGTTGTTAGCTTAGGCTCACCACTTAATGATCTACATTATCATAGGAGTATGACAAACATTTTTGGAATTTTGAATGATAAAAAAAGGATTTTGACAGAAAATTAGATGCTAGTGACTACATGCATACACATTACGTATGTATGTATATGTATGTAGTCACTAGCATCTAAATTTCTGTCAAAATCCTTTTTTATCATTCAAAATTCCAAAATAAGATATCAAAATGTTTGTCATACTGCTATGATCCACAGAACAGAATGTGGAACAAAATTTTGTCAAACACAATGCTTAGACAAATTTGATAAAATTTTTGACTGACAAATATTTGGAATCACCCAGTAAATAATAACTTACTATTGTATTATGTGATAATTGAAACAAGTAGATACTGTTAGTAGGTCTACCACTATCAGCCACTGCTCCTCCATACATAATTCCTTTATTATGATTGATCCTTTCAATTATAAAGGCACTAGTTGGAGGGCAACACTGTCCACTGACAGATGGAACAGTCCATTGTCCTAATGAGAATTATCAGTAACTATTGATATGTCAAATTTTTACTATAAAATATGAGACAACTGTAAGTACATGTACATTGAGGTGAGCTTAAGCAATTGACTCACAGTGGCAGTACCTTCAATATAAATTAGAAGCACCTCCATTATTAATGTTATGTACTTATGTCTAATTAGAAATAAATCTAATATGCATTATTTGTACTTGTACATGAGTCAAGAAATCATTCAATTCAAATCAATTGTGAAGCTTGTCATCATTTTCAATGCTTTACAGCCAGAGAATAGACTGAGACCCCTTGAAAGATTGGCTTCATTACCTCTACCCAAAGAACCACTCATGATCATAATGCTTTGTAAACAACTATAGACTGAGTATTATTTATTCATCTCACACAAGTATACAAGTATTTAACTCCACATAGTCTCGTACCCAGTTCTAAAGCGAAGGGATGGGACATGAGACTAAACTCCACAAATTTGACACGATACACTATGACTAATTCAATGAGTCACTCACCACTGGACAGGTTGTAGATATTCTGTTCATTAGTTCTAACACGATCAACATGACCAGTTATCTTAATGTACTCAAATTGATGATGATACTGTGTAATAGTTGATATAGGAGCCTCCCCACCAATAACCAGTAATTGTTGAGGTTCACTTCCCATTACTATCATGCCTCCAAAGCCTCTCTTAGTCACAGAATTGTCACTAGTTGGCTGTAATTCTTTCCATTGAAGAGTTAAAGTGTCTAAACAGTTCAAACTGTTATGGTAGCAGGAGTCATGGCCACAATAGCCACCAAAATAATAAATATTATTATTAATGGTGGTACAGGAGACTCCTATGATTCCCAAGGGAGGAGTACCTCTAGTAGGTTGAGAGGACCAAACACCAGATAATAAGTTAAACGCATCAATAGCAGAAGTACACTGTCTCTTTGTAGGAGAATCGTGTGACCCAACTAATCCTTCCCAAGCCCCTCCCCAGCAATACAGTACCTCTCCTACTACTGCAGTTGTGTGTTCAGACCTCTCTCTCAGTTGATACTGACCTGTAGAATGATAAATAATCAATTTTTATGCTTTAAACCTAAACAATCAGCAACCTACCTTCAGCTTTTCTGTCCATTTTAGCTTATCATGTGATCTTTTTAATAACCAGCCCCACCCAACAAATAAGAATTCACACAACTTGTCAAGATCTATAACATACTAGACCTCAAAGATTGTGCACTGTACAGTACATTTAACTGCTATGATAAATGAAGAGTAGTACAAGTTGCCATACAAGTTTTGTTGATATTGTTCTATCATACTAAACACTTCTTGTCCCATACATCAGGTGACATATGTAAACCATTATGAATGATATGAACAGTAACTGAATCTGAATAATCAAGACCTTGTAATAACTAGAGAGAGAGAAACAGAACATTACTTTGGACTAACACTGACATTCATGCACACTCTTCCTATTATCATAAGCTCATACATAGTCTGAACGACTCAAGCTCAAATGTAGATACAATGTACATCCAATAATTGGTCATTATACAATAATACTCAATAACATTAATACACTCAATCTTATAGTGCATATAATCTTCAGCTTCTACATGTACATAAATGTATCTTGTCATGTTTTTGTGGTAGAGTACTAGTTGTTATATTATCATTACCTTTGGTGTAAGTACAAAGTATTGTGGAGTGTCTCTTTGATTTACAGTCCTGACTATCTGAT